CTACGGCCATGTTGATAGTTGCAATAAATTACTGTTACACTATAGTGCTTCTAATTCAACGTATTAATACGAGTTAAAATCTATGGTAGGATATGTGAGCAATGTCACTTCGAGAAAAAAATAGCTAAAAGTTGATATTGAGTTGTATGAATAAACTACTATAATATATTTATTTTTCTATAATATATTTATTTTTCATATGATATTTTTTTTTGTAATAGACACATTATGTATAAAAATACTTAACCAGACCGATATCTGGTAGAAATATTAAGGCTTAAGCACACGATGACCTCTAACGGTCTGTTGACGCGAGTTTTCCTCACGTATGTTATGTATGAATACGAATGCAAACGGAAGTAATCTGCCATTTTAAGACTTCTCAGCGCAGTATTGTGTATAGGCCCTTAGATTTGGAAAAAGCTATATTATCTTCATTTACTATGCAATAAATAGAGCACGCAGATACAAAATAAATATTAATTTACTCCAGGACTTTAGATACATATCATAAAAATGACTTATACATTTTTTTTAATAATAACAAGTTAAGTAATTTAGATTGTAACAAAAGTTTGTGAAGGTCTATTTGTACAGCCTTTTGAATTTGAGTTTCTATTTTAGTTTGTATTATTAAACGCTTAACTAATAAAATACTTTAATAACTGCCAAGTCTTATAAGTTATTTAAAGCTATAATGAATAGAAAACACGTAAATATATATGTATAAAGACTGGTGTTATTTTAGCGAAGAGCATTATCCAAATGAAACATTTAACTCTTTACAAAGTTATAATTTACTGTATAGTGGTATAATAATGCAATTTATTAGATACAGTAACAGTTTGCCCAATTTATTCCACAGCAGGACAGAGGATTCCCCTCTACATTTCCAGGTTTTGTGGTCTAATACAGATCTATCTATCTAGTACAAAACGTATGAGTTTTAAATACCTACCTGTCTATTAAAAATGAAATTTTGCTGTTTAAAAATCCTTAGCTCAATATAGAAACGCTATTTTTATTTCATCTTTATTGCTACTCGTTATTATAGTGAGTTTTATTAATTTGCTTCATTTGTACAAACATATTAACCCATTCATTCATTTAGATAAAGATAGAAATATATATATATATACCTAGTATAAATATGGACTTATTTTCTGACATAAATAAATTTTCAGTTGCCATATCTTTGACAATCCTTACACCCTTGAGAGCCCTCGCATTCAAGTATCTACTTCAGAATATACTCCTCTTTAAATAACAATACAATCTCTGGCTGATAATTCTATGTAAGATTATTACAAAATGGAGATAAATGCAAGTGTGCACTTAACGATTGTGTATTGGCTGATAAGAAAATTATTTTGGCTACATCTTCCTTCGGTCTTTATGTTGTAAGTATTCAGTCCTGCACTGCTGGGTGTGGGCCTCCCTTCAATACGAGAGGGATCAGGCCATAGTCCACCACGCTGGCCAAGTGCGGGTTGGCGGACTTCTGCATTTCATACGAGAGGATTCGCTCAGACATGCAGGTTTCCTCACGATGTTTTCCTTCACCGTAAGGCAAGTCGTAATCATGGTGGAAATGATTCGCATATGAAAATGTCAGAGGTGCGAGACCCGGGATTTGAACCTGCTTCACTCGGTTTCCCAAGCGAACGCGTTACCACTGGGCTACCATTGCCTGTCCAGTCTTTATACTGATTATGAATTCGACCTACATATAAACAGATAAAAACTGAAGGTTGCCATCTGCGTGGGCTCTTTGAAATATGTAGTATACATAATAAAACATTTTATCTAAATTGTAATTTTAGGGCATTATTGTAATTTTTGTACCTGGATAGTTTTTTAAGTATTTTTATTATTGCAAACTAGTAAATAATTTTAGTTATATCTATTGCATTTTATCTTCACTAAGTACCGATGTGTGGAAGTTTGTTTAGTTAAGGATTTTCTGTAGTTAGAATCAAACTCACATAACTGTTAATATTTGAGGGTTTAAAGTCACATTACTTAATAATAAATAATTTAAATAATTGTTTTATTTTAAGCATCTCTGTACATACAATTGTTGCTGTGTGTAGAATCGTTATACAAATGTTACACGGTGCAATACAAAGTTGTGAAGACTTTTATTTGTGTGTTTTATTGCTGTCACCCATCTATAGCTATCTGAATATATGTACAATGTAAATAATATGTATATCTGATATTTATTAAGAGAAATATCCTAAATAAAACTACTTTTTGGATTTTTTCGTACATTTATTTTAATTTTTGGTTCCCGACATTTCGTATGCTTTACAGCAATTGTGGTCACGGGAAAGAGGTGTGTGCCGAACACATAGTTTTACTTTAAATGTTTAGTATTCGTGTATAACTAAGAAAATTTTAATAGAAATATCTGTCGGTAATTTCAAATAAGCTAGTACCTAATTACAGTTCGCTATTCAAAATTACTTTATAGAAAAACGTATTAACAGTAGGCACTTGATTTAATCCCGGACTAGAATGCAGACCATCAGAATCTGTAACCGAGCATGATTTCCATTAGGATAGTCAGGAAGATTTAGGGAGTACAGTGGTAAGTACCTACCCGTGTGAAGTTAAATAGTATAAATCAACCTTAATGTTTTTTAAAACCGGATCCCAGAAAATTTTTCAAAACTTCGAAAGAGAATTCAAAATTAATAACGTTTGTGTACTAAAGATTATAGGTACAACAAGTGATTTTATATAAGTTGTGTATTTGAATATTGAAGTAATCATTGTAATATTTATTTTGTTTAATATAAAAGAGGTAAAAAAATTGAGTCGCGATGATTTTCTTTGGTCAGCACTAAGCTTTTGCTTTCCGAACTGGTGGTAGTCGTGACATTCAGTTAAAAATAATAATAAATAAATGAGGAGCAAATGTTTTTAAATTTATAATAACTAGCGGCTCCCCTCGCTTCGCTCGGGTTCGGGTTCTACATAAACAAAAAAATCTATCCCACGGGAACTGTATATTTTTCCGGGATAAAAGGTAGCCTATTTATTATTCTGATATATACTACTATATTATTGTAAAGTTTCATTAAAATCCAATCTGTAGTTTTTGTGTACTAAGCTGTATAAGTTACTATAGTTTTTTTACCATCCCACGGGAACTATTTAATTTTTCTATCTAAAATGTTGACCGGGGATATAAGGTACCACCATGCAAAATTTAATTTAAATCGATCAAACACTTTCGGAGATTAGCCCGTACGGACAGACAAACAGACAGAGAAACAAAAAAATAAAAAAAATCTGGATTTGTTCTATTTCTCTTCTTACATGACTCGATTTTTAGCATTTTTTTTCTATGTACAGACATCCGACCTCTACAGTTTTATTATATGTATACCTCTACAGTTTTATTATATGTGATATTTGATGACAAAATCGATAGACGTTATTTTTACAGGAGATACGGAAAAGGTTATCCAAAATGTCGTATTAATTGACTACCATATATCATACCACGTCTATTTGCTAACGGCTTGCCCAAACGAGACACATGTTTGCTCGCCAGTATGACTGATGAGTACATAGTTTTGAGCAAATATTATACTACGCTTAACTAAGCTTGCTTCTGTATACAGCACCGTTAAAACTTTTAGTATTTTTATTGTAAGCTTCTTCTTCTTTAGTAATTTTCTTTTTAAAATTGTTTAATATCTATATTTTAATGGACGTCCATCGCAGTAGTGGAAGCAGGCTTGATACGGGCACATGCAATATCAATATATGTATTTAGTATTTACTTATCGACAAATCACGGGACTATGTAGCTACTGCCACTCATGAAAAATTTTTGTCACGTCAATATGTATAGAAAATATTTACCCTCAAATCACTAGACCTAAATTAAATATAGTATCGAAAGTAGAACAAGAAAAAGTATTTTTGTTTATAAAATACTGGCGCAAACATAGGTCGACTCATTAGTCATTTGTAACTAACATTATAATTTCAATATATCATAATCTTTAAATAATTTTGGGTATTGTACCCAAAATTATTTAACACCTCCAGGTAAATTTCTAAGAAATTAATTAAATTTCTAAGAAATCTATTGTTAACTTTAACGCCGGCGTGACCGCGGTCATGGAGGGATTAAAGATATTCCACAATACAATTAATTGTGGGTACACTAAGTGGGTACAATATGTGGTGTACACGAAGGAATTTTTTTAGTACACGTGGATGGTACCTGAAATGATTGTACAAAAAATAAGGCATATATATGTCTATCTTTTGTTCGGGTTACTAAATAAAATATAATAAAAATATTTAATTTCGAAAACACGTTTATGCGATATTACGATTTCGATCAAACCTAATTTTTTTACAAAATTGGCAATATAAATCCTTTAAATGCATTTTCCGCTATTCCTACGAATTTCAGATGCCAGATTTCACATTACAAGTTGTAAAATTTACTCTATTTATTCTATTTGTATTAACCAAGTAACTAAGTGCTTTAGTTAATTTTGAATACATAAATTATTCAGAGTAATCAATTTTCCCAAAGTGTTCTTAGTATTCTGCCCCAAGGCACCTTCGTTTTAATTTAATTGGGATAGAATTATTTCTTTATCTAAGCAGTAAGACCTAATATTTTTCTGCGATGAGATCCACAATTTTTTTTTGTTAGAGTTAGTTACACCTAGCTACCATTAAGTTAAAAATCTAAAAATAATATAATATTCGTTAAAATAACTACTCTTAACTAAAAATGTACAAATATTTACAACAATTTAAACAATCATACTCTGGTCCATACCAATATATATTCATCAAATATTTATTTAGAAGATAGTGATAAAGATGTACAAATACACAACTTATCTTTTATAAATTACAGATCAAGACTTCTCACTATGCAATAAAAAGGGACAGTGATAAGACGTAAAGATAGTTTGATAGTACGGTCATTGTGAGGATATGGTGCATTTTTAATCAACATGGCTCAACTGCAGAACATAACACTTCAATGGTACTCCCAGTGGCGAAAAATTTTGGGAGAATTAGTGGCAACATGTATGTTAGTATTCTTTGCCTGCATGACGTGCATTCCTCTTGATGGGATACACCCTAATCCCTCACTATACAGTCCAATAGGAATCGGTATGGTCATCGTTCTCATTGCTCAAATCTTCGGGCATATTACTGGATGTCATATAAGCCCTGCAGTGACGTTAGCGGGTATCATCTGGGGTAACACATCAATAAGTCTTGGGATTGCTTACGTCATAGCTCAAAGTGTTGGAGCCATCTTAGGTTATGGTATTTTGATGGTTTTATCGCCTATTGATTTGATACCAGGAAGTGTATGTGTCACTCAACCACATGTTGAACATTCGGTGTTTCAATCATTATTATTTGAGATCGTATTTACTGGTGCCTTAGTACTCGTAGTGTGTTCTATGTGGGATCCAGTGAATGAACATAAAACTGAGGCTAACTCTCTGAAATTTGGTCTCGCTATTGTTGGACTAATAATTGCTGGTGGACCTTTAAATGGAGGTAGTATGAACCCAGTAAGGTCTCTGGGTCCAGCAATATGGACAGGAAAATGGACTTCACATTGGATATATTGGATTGGACCACTAATTGGAGGAGTATTGGCGTCAACTCTTTATAAATATGTTTGGATTAAGATAGAAAAAGTTGAAGAACACAAAATGCAACCATTAGCAGCTAATGAAGAAGATTGTGAATGTTAAAATATTTTAAATTAAATTATTAAGACTGATTCCATGTATTCAAATTTATTGACTTATCATATTATTAGTGCATCCTAAGTGTTCATATAATTCAAGCTCTACATATACTCCCATGTATTTTTGTTTAAGCCATAATCTCTAAATATAACGCCTACTTTTTATTAAAGAGGAACGAGGAGCTCCTGCAAATGTATCTAGATCTAATTATCAAATTACAATGAAATACTTCTTTTTAACGTTAAGATATTCCTTTACCCATGTCACTTGCAAACATACAGGTGGTTACGTGGGACTTACTGGCTAGGAAAGCCGTACCCACTGAAACCCAACAGAACCTTCTTTATCTTAATGGATCGACGCAAGATCACAGCTGTATGCAATGAAACTATCAACGAAGTCTCATTGAAATCTGAACAGTAATGGCAGTGCTATCCCTACTAAGCAATTTCATATAATATTTAATTTACAGCTTCAACTCTTGTTATTTTATTACGTGTATAATTGATCGTAATATTTGTAAGAAAGCTCATATTAAATAAAAACATCACTTAGTAAAATATTTGCCGGTATAAAATAACTTTATTTGAGAAACTGAAAGGTACATAACTTATAGGTCCATATTCAAATTAAACATTCGTGTGGAACCTTTTTCAATCGTGTAAATCGCGTAAAAATGGTTTGTACAACTTTTTACCTGGAGGTGAACCAATTCAGATTTCCAGAGATGTTTTAGTAAAGTAATAAAGATATTTAATGTTCCAATTACTGGCAAATAGAGTCACTAAAGATCGTAAGCTATAAGTGGCTACGACTACAGCAACATTTAAAAAGTGAATTTGACAGGAAGATTATATATGTAGATAAAAAATATTATATTTTCAACCGATTTCATTAAGGAGGAGGTGCTCAATTAAGATGTGTGGTTCTTTCTATCTTCGTCAATTTTAACCCATATTCAAGATTCTCTCTCATGAATAGAATCATCATACAAAATTTCAAGAAATAAGTACTTCTCTTAGGCTTAGAATGTTTAATTACTTTTAATTTGATTTAAAGGTTTGTGTACTTTTTAAGTAAACAGTATTTTTCCTAGCTATACAACAACCTACTTATAACAGGCTTATGTGATAAGCTTAGCTGTTTTAAATTCAAAGTAAAATAATAATTCATCTGGTTTTGAGTGATACATTTAAACAAAATAATATGGACTTGGATCGTATAGGTATACTACCAAAAATATTCTCTAAATAAGAATTGATACAATATTTTCAAACAATATAGGTCTTAATCTCAATCCATTACATTTAATAAAAGCTTATTTTGTACCACACTAGATAGTTAGACCTAGTTTAGTCCTCATCTTTGAAGATATTGTTTCCGAAGCCCCACAACGTAATATCCGGTTAGGCGGAAATTGAGAGATGAGCACTTTGCTGTATCAAAGTACTACGTTCCCATGTCATAGAAAATCACATTTTAATAGACTTTGGAATTTCATATATCTTTTTGTAATTATTTATTACATTTTAATAATATTCGAGCCTTAGAACGACAAAATCTATATATATAAAAGAAAGTCGTGTTAGTTACTTCGCTTATAACTCAAGAACGGCTGAACCGATTTAGCTGAAAATTGGCAGGGAGGTAGTTTAGAGCCAGGAGAAGGACATAGGATACTTTTTATCCCGTTCGACCGCGTTCCAATTTTTATGATATTTTAATTTTTGGATTTCTCTTAGTCCGGAATAGGTAAGTATTAAAACATATAATTAAAATGTGAGAAAGAAAGATTTTTTCTTTTTATATCTATTTAAAACGTACCTAGCGACGAACCCGAGCGAAGCGAGGGTGAGCCGCTAGTAATTATTAATAAGTCTTTTTCAACGTGCGAAAATGCATTTCACAACATTAAAAAAAGTCCAAGGCATTGGCTAACACCGGCTCGGAAAGGTTTTCCTGAAAAGAGCCTGCAAAAAACTTCAGTTACTTTTTTAAAATTGTAGGTCGGATTGCTTGTATCCATTATACAATCTTGTGAAAAAAGCTCTCTGCACATAGGCGAAAAAGGCAAATCTGCACATTTTCTCTCAGTACCTACCTACGATGGCCATCACTAGACCCTGGGAGATGGAAAATTAGGTATGTTAATTATTCTAAAGTATATTTATTAATTAAACAATTGTATTAGTGTTATTTACGATGTAATGATGCTGCATACTTCTGCTCTGAGCTAATGTTAATATTTGCATTCAGTTTATACATATTGCATTATCTAATAAGACGAACATTTGTTTTGTTGTTCTTTGTTGTATGTAGGCTCCTTCCACAAAGGCTAAGATAAATCGTGAGATATGTAGTAATTTTTAACCCCCGACACAAAAGAGGGGTGTTATAAGTTTGACGTCGACGTCTGTCTGTCTGTCTGTGTGTGTGTGTCTATCTGTGGCATCATAGCTCTTAAACGGTTGGACCGATTTCGATGCGGTTTTTTTCATTTGAAAGCCAGTTTCCTTGCGGTGGTTCATATCGGTTCAGCAGTGTAAGAGTATCAGCTCTTTTCCAAAATGATGTAAGACATTTTGGCGTATGATTACTTGATTAAGTTTTTTACATTTTTAAGGGTTGTTCCTTAAACTATAAGTATTTTTGGGTAGGGTTTTTTTAATTTATAATTATTACAATACATATACATATTATGTATGTATACATTAATTTTGAGTATCTATATATTCCATGTGTACATACTCATATTTAATCTTCATTATACTTAATAGTACAAAATCTTAAAAGTTATTAAATAAAATCCAATTAGCTATTTCCATTTGATGATTAGCTTCTATTAAATAACTTATTGTTGTTGATTTGTAAAACTTTACTTGAAGACTACTAAAAAGTATTTGTACATAAACTTTATACTCATAATAATAGTTTTATAATAAATCTGATATAGATTTGACATATTAAATTTGCAAATATTTAACTAGGGAAATCAAGGTAAAACGACTGGATAATGTTTTGATACGCATTAAATTCCTATAAAACTAACTGTATATTGCATAATTATTCTGTCTTTTTTTAAATTTACTTAGCATTTTTTTTAGAGAAAACAAAAGTGTCTGTGTTTAAAAAAATATAATTAATAATTATAAATTAAAAATTTTAAAACTCCCTACGCAAATTAATTGTCATTTAACGATTACACTGGCACGCGTGAAGCACTTAAACGAGTAATCATACGCCAAAATGTCTTACATAATTTTGGAAAAGAGCTGATACTCATACACTGCTGGACCAATATTAACCAAACATAGCTAAGAACCACCGCAAGCAAACTGGCTTTTAAATGAAAAAAAAACTGCATCGAAATCGGTCCATCCGCATTTCAGAGCTACGATGCCGCAGACAGACACGCGCACTCACAGACAGACATCAACGCCAAACTTATAACACCCATCTTTTTGCGGCAGAGGTTAAAAAAGTAATTTTCTCTTTAAATAACTTTATTTTCCTATAGAAAAAGGTGACTATTGGTAACAATTTTATAAACAAATAGAAACACTTCTTTGCACTAAACATTATATAATAATGTAAGGTAAGAAAATAGAGCCCCTTGCGGTGAACTTCAAAATCTATAGGTACTTATAAAATTATAGAGTTTTAGTGAAACGGTACAAGACTCAAACAACCGTGAAAATTATTGTATGTCTGTACGTTTATACACGCATCCTTGGCACGAAAAAATCGATTTCAACAAGACCCTAAATGGTGGATGGAATATTAGGGTGAGAGTGACGTGGACTATTTAAAAAAGCTGACTTGAAAAATGAATGGTGTATGTTTTGTTCTTATCGTTCTTTTTGTAATTTATAGATTAAATCTTTTTTTGTATGATGAATATTCTCAAGCGTAGTCTCATATAAATTTAAAAAGAAATCATTTGTGAATATATAAATAATAAATAAAATCACAATTTAAATCCGATGTAATTTATGTTGTTAAAAAGATGCCGCTGTAAAGCAAGTACACAAAAATCTATTTTTCTTTTAAATATACATAAAAACGTATTTAAACTTCATACTTACCATATTAAATGTTTCAATAACGTATGAAACTTAATTATCTTTTCGAATGTGCATTGAGAAAGTCACATGGCAATACCTGATACAACGTTTATAAGCGGTTAAATATTTAATTCTATTGTATTCGGGCTAAGAGGCGTGTTCACGCCATTGTCATTTCAAATAATGAAACGTCTAGTATTTAAATATTTACCTTTCATTACACGTGATAGTGACAGAATTGTATCTTCGCACAGATGACATAATACTATACTAAAACAGATGCTACATCCCATACAAAGGAATTGCATAGCGCTAATTCGGGCTATTTTTGTTTGCTTCAATAGATAATAATAGGTGTTGTTTGACCAGAAATCGTCCAACTATTTTATTTTATGAATATATGTAAATTAGCACCTCCAGGTAAATGTCTAATAAATTAATTTAATTTCTATGAAATCTATAGTTAACTGTAACGCCGGTGTGTCCGCGGTCGTGGAGGGATTATTATATATTTTTTTATAATTTTACACATATTATTTTAAAATATTTAACATTAATTTTACTCCGAAAAGGACTTTAGAAAATGGTGTCTCATATATTTATTTTTATCCTTTCTGAGAATTTAATTCGCAAGGTAAATAATAAAGTACACTGAACCTTTTACCAGGTAAACCTAAAATTTAATTTGTATAATACAAAAATGGTTCCTTGTATCACAACGGTATTATAAAAACAATTTTTTTAAATAGAATAAATTATTTCTATATATTATTGCTTTTAAATACAAGTTTTTTGATTAGATAAGTACTTGCAAATTTATAAAATATAAGTCTTCAAAACTCTTCAAAAACTTGAAATATGCTTAATAAATAAATTTATTTATTAAACTATTAACTACAAATATTACATTTCAAATTCAACATATATTTATCCAAT